TTCCTTTACTCACATACCATCCAAAGAGGTACTCTCTTCAGTCTTTTGTCCTTCATTTCCACTGCCTATCACAGCCACCAATGACCACACAAAACCACACAATTCTCAATCTTTACATTATTCAGCCTTTGAGTAGCACTTGACCAGACTGAAAATCCTCTCCTTGAAATATTCACTTCACTTATACTCTCTTTATCATTCACACACTGACCTCACAGATACACTGGTCTCCATTCTGATCACTGGGTCACTTTTCTCTCCTAAGTTTTACATGCTTCTCATCCCTTCTCTTTTTGGCTCTCTCAAAGATTCCATCCTTGACTTTATCTGAAAGACTAAGAAGTTATGATCCTATGCGTTTCATTGCACCAAACATCTCATTTATTCTAATGGGTCCTGAGCTTATTTTTCCAAACTTGCCACTTATTTTCTGTGAGCTGTCCAACTTTGAAGTTTTTCCAAAATGAACACATTTAGAAAGAAATTCCATTCTCAACCCTCCACATTCACATCAACCTTCCACCCAACAGATGAGTCCCAAAGCCGGAAGTCATCCTTGCTCCCCTTGTCTCATACCTGCCATCCAATCCACACGGTAAACTTGCTGCTGGGACTTTCTACAGCGACCCACATTCTTGACTGCATACAAGAAGGTGATCTTCACAATACGTGAAACACATCATATCATGTGTATGCTCAAAATTCTCGTTCCAATCCCTTCCCATCACATTTAGAACAAAACCCAAAGAATTTGTGAAATAGTCTTTGAAGCTTCCTGACCTGGTTTCACTTTCCCATTCTGCCCTCATCTCCAGTACTCTCCCATTTTTACTGCCCATTTGTTCCATGGTTTCCTTGCGGGCCATCCTGACAGTTTATACCTATTCTGGACCAACGGTCCTTAAACTTTCCTCCTATTAGGTTGTATTTATCAATGCCTAACAGTCTTTGAACCCATGTATCTAGACTGTTCTAGAACACTTTTCCACAGATGTTATTAGCATAACTAACTTCTTGGAGACACTTTTGTGAATACACCTATAGGCATACCTTTCACTTATTAACTTTCCATTTCTTGAACATGCTTTGCTTTTCTTCCTGGTGCTAACACAATCTGAATGTAAGTTCTATGACAGTAGATACTTAATTGAACTGCAGCCCTGAAAACTAGAACTGGAGTTGGAAAATAATAAATAAAACATCTCAAAATGGAAGGGAGGAGAATCCTAATCACACTCCTCCATCAGAGCAATAGTGAGCCAAACATAACTTGTCTTTCAATTATTCTGGGACTAAATATTTGTAAAAACTCAGAAAATTTTCCAAAGAAATTCTACACAAACTACCCTAGGATGGAATGAAATTTTTTTATGAGGTTTTTATTTATAAGCATAATGTCTCAAGACAGGAACAAACAAAACTGTTCCCTACAGAGAACATTCTACACTTCTGAGCGCCACCAGTTTGAGGGGCTCACTGCTACATGCTCTGTAGGCATCATGCAAAGAAAGATCTTTCCCAAGAAGCCTTTTCTAACATCCTTCCTATCATGGCTCTACAGCTTCACGTCACTTATCAGCAGCACCTTCCCAAACTCCTTCCATCCTTCTTCATCACTTGCATTACATCCAAGGCCCTACTGAAAATTGTGGGTGCTCTGGACTAAATAAACACTTGCCATTACTTTAGGCCCATATTCCTCATACACTCAGATGAGCTGAGGTTCTAGCTTCATTAAGAAGGAATTTTCATATTGTTCATGTATTTTATTGTCAGTTAAGCATTCCACTAGTGCTCTAAACTCTCAATCGTCCTTCTGAGAAGCACAGTACAAGCACTTCACCTAGTCAAGTTTCAGTCTCTTTGAAAGCACTTGTGTCCAACACATTTCTTTTTCAACAACAGTAAATCTCTGACTACTCCATGTTTTAGTCCAATTCTACATGTGGTTATCTGTTATTTAATTGCTTTTATTAATTTTTGGCTTAATATTGGTACCTTCAACTAGACTTAAGCACTGTGAAATACAAACACTATCAATTATGTTCAATGCTGCAACATTTGTCTTAATAAAACACCTAATGACAGAGGCTCAAAAAACATGTGAGTGGTGAAATGTCTCAAGTCACATGAGATGTTAGCTCACATGCAAATTCATGCTGAGTGATGTCACCCAGAGGATAACCCCTTGCTTTATCAGAGACCAACTGCATCATATCAACTTCAAAGGAAATTCACTGGTAAAATCATCTAACTTACATGAATACCACCTACAGATTCATTATCAGCATTCTGAAAACCCGACTTTCCTGTCATATTCTCTTTGGCTCATGCATACTGGATGTACAACTCCTAAGTTGAATGAGATATGAGGGTTCCCTTTATCACTCAGGATTTCATAGCTGGTGCAGGGCTCAGCTTTGTTATGGGTAAAACAAAAACTAGAGGCATTACTGAAATGCCCTTTTCTTCCTTCACTCTGCGAGGAGGGCAGTCCTCTCCCACTCGATGCCTCTACTATCATCTCATTAATCAGTTAAACAACAACCAAAAAAACATATAAAATGCTTCAACAATATTTGTACAATACGGTGATTATAAAAACTTGACATAAACTAATAAAAAGAGAAAAATCAGATGTTTCCAGGCAATCTCTCATACTTTCACTACTTATCTAGTAACAGCTTTGAGAAGTATTTCCATAACAACTTCTTTGGGTAATTTCTGCTTTTTAAACTCAACTTTTTTTTTTTTAGTTCTCTAACATCCTAGTTGTACAAGAAAATTAATGGAACAGCATTTCTTCTGACACTAGCGGAGGGAATGGGGAGAAGATCATGAATATAGATAACAATAAACATCCATTGATACCTAAACAATGCTAAATGTTTATGTATTATGAATCCACTTCATCTTTCCACTGCCTTCCAAGGATGGATTGGCTTATTATCCCACTATATCACTGATAAAAAATGATTATCAGGGAAATTAAATACCCACATCGACAGCTGTGAGAGAACCAGGACACCCACACATCTTTGATCCTCAGTCTGAAGTTCCTAACAACTACAGCACATTCCAGCAGGTTTATGATTAAATAAACATTAATTCTTTACATTAAAAAAACTCTTGAATAAATAGTGGGGCATTAAACTAACAAACATACTCGTATAGAGCACAAGTTAGGGCATGAGCTTTAAAATTCTTAGACATAGTTTCTAGAAAATTAAATTTTAGCGATATACTTTACATGTTACACTTAAAATAAAAGTTTGTCATGAAATGATGAAACCAAGTAAAAAGATGTTTTCTTAGGTTCCTTTACTCAGGAGCCAAAACTACTTAAAAGTTTATGAGGATTATTAAAATCTTTATTAATCACCCTCATGGTGGAAGCAATACTCTTCTTAAGACATGTCAGACACATACCAGATTCTATGACATATATACACCTATCACAGGATAACAGGCAAGCCTGCATGTTGTACCGCTAGCTAATGCCTAATTGTTAAAAAATGATAATTCTGTACCTAAATCTTAAGGGGCCAATAAATATCTGACTTGGTCTTGGTTTACTTTATTTAAAACAGATTTGTTTAACATTGATCAGGAATTGTATTAGCCATATCAAAGAGGGCTCCACTTGAATCTAACTCATGAGAAATCTCTCTAATCCTTTTATAACTGGATGGAGATGGAACTTGGTACCTTTCATCTAAAGGAACAAAAGACAGTGAGAGTAGGTAACCAGCATGTCTTCATTTCAAGTTTGCAGGGGTGGAATTCCTTGTGGTTTGAACGATGAGAATTTTAAAGTGAATAATAATATGGTAAGATGAAGCTTATTTCTGTGTCTCACACTACCATAGCTACAAAATCTTGCCAATTGTAGATGCACAACAGTCTAGTTTGTTTGCGAAAACTTCTCTATCTTCAAAACCCAACATTTATTCTAGTGTTCTGCCTTACATAAGAAGGAAAAAACCCCCATATGTTTACTAGCATTTTCTAAGCAGGCATGCTTCATGTATTCATCGATCATATTTTAATTATCAGCCTCAGCAGTAATACAGTGTCAAAGGGAAAAAAACAATACATTCTAAGCCTTAAATCCATCATTATTCCTAGGCTCCAAAGAAAAAATACATACACATGTATTTAGTTTCACAGGAAGTATGTCAACGAAAATGGAATTTTCCTTTTCTGTAGAGGAGTGGAGTATGTTTCAGACTCATGGATAGAGAAGAAAAACTACAAGTCTTGAAGCTGTTAATATCCCTTTTCATAAAAATTGTAACAAAAATAAGATCTTGGAAAATGACTTCATGATCAGCTGCACAACTATTAAATTTAATTAAATAACTAGGTTTTATGACATTCATATGGCAAAGTTCTCCTTCCTTGGGAACCATAAAAGGGAATATAATTCCACATTTTGGAATACGCCTATTTTATTGAGTCATCCTGTTATTTGGAATAACTTAGACATATGAGATGAAAACAACCCAAGCAACACAATTCTTTTATAGCCAATTGCCTAACTTCAGAATTATCTTAATGGCACACTAATTTACAAATTACCCCAAAATGAGTGATCAGTTCTGAGCAGTTGCAATTTCAGACTTAAGGGCATTTAAATGTCTTGTCACCCAAGTAAGTTTTAGTCTGAGCAGAAAAAGAAAACCACCCTGATATACCTTAGACATTTCTCATAAGGCACTATGTCTATGAAGAATTAAGACTTTTTGTACTTCAATGGTCAACAGGTTAACCTTATCCTTAACCGTCTGAGAATTTTCCATTACATAACTCCACAAGTAAAAATATTAACTAACTAAAGTAAAAGCATAAGTGTAGGGGTAAGTCCTTATAAAACCATGCTCTATTCAACAGCTGATCAGCTGATGTCTTGGCTATTCTGTGCACAGCATAAAAAAAAAAAAAAAAGAAAGGTTTCCCCTAGTGGTGAAATAAATCAAGGCTTCAATTGTGGCTCTTACCTTTGCCATGGCTTCTCCCATCTTCCAAAAGCGGCACGACAATAGTGTTGTTCACATTTCCAGGGGACCGAACGGCTGTATAGACAACAGGCACCGACTGGACCACCACAGGGATGCGGTGAACGTGACTCAGTTTGTTGGACTGTAAATTCATAGGACTCGAAGGCGGTACTGGATGGATAATGTGCAAAAACTGCTGGCCTCCCACACCAGAGGCAGAGGCAACAAGGGGCCCTGGAGTTAATACTGTGGACGAAGATGAGGCTGAAGATACTGATGTAATCACAGTTGGGGATGAGGCTGGACGACTAGACGACGATGAAGAGGTTGAAGTTGAGGAAGGTGAGGAGGCAGACGCTGTCATGGAAACTGGGGAGGATGACACGGCGGTTGGGGATGTCCTGGCTTTGTTTATGGACAAGTCCACTGGCTCAGTTTGTGTCTGGAAGTGATCTATAGACAACGAGTCCTCGGGGGGCTCCCCTTTCACATTATTTAGCAACAGGGGAACAGCTTCCATATCGGGATAGTTGTGGACGTTTGGAGACTGTGGGGAGAAAATGGAACAAAATTTATCTTTGATAAGCACACATTTTCATAGATGCATGATTTATTACTAGAATGTTTAATAATTCAACACTTACTGCCAGAGGACATTCATTCATCCCCCCAAATACTTGAATAATTGCTCTGTGCCAATCACAGTAATTTAAAAATGAAGGTGTGAAAGACTATAACAGGGACACTGTCACAGAGAAATTTTTTATTTTATGGGGAGAAACAGACACATTTATTAAAATCCAATGAAATCAGTGCCGTTTAAAGGAGAATAGGGGTCAAAGGAATCTAAAAATGGATAGCAGATTTACAAAAAAGATCCTCTAAAAGGTAAGTTCAAAATACAAAGTATAATGCACTTGAATCTATGAATTAAAACATTTGTTGATTTCATCCATCACTGCATTATAATTCAAATTTTGATTAGATAATGTTAAATAACCTTTTGAGCTTTAAAAGTACTTTTTATGAATGTACCTTTTTCAGTAATCACAACTTGAAGATTTATTACCTTGGCAACAACACTGGGAAAATTCGCTTTGACATTTCTACTTTCATATTTGGCACAATAAGCTACCATGTCATACTCATTTGGGCATTAAAAATAGAGTCACGGGCCTGGCACAATGGCCTAGTAGCTAAAAGTCCTCGCCTTGAACACACCCCAGGATCCCATATGGGCGCCGGTTCTAATCCCAGCAGCTCCACTTCCCTATCCAGCTCCCTGCTTGTGGCCTGGGAAAGCAGTAGAGGACAGCCCAAAGCCTTGGGACCCTGCACCCATGTGGGAGACCCGGAACCCGTGTAGGAGACCCGGAAGAAGTTCCTGGATCCTGGCTTTAGATCAGCATAGCATCGGCTGTTGCGCTCACTTGGGGAGTGAATCATCGGACGGAAGATCTTCCTCTCTCTCTCTCTCCTCCTCTCTGTATATCTGACTTTCCAAAAAAATAAATAAATCTTAAAAAAAAATAGAGTCACAACTTCTATAGTTTCCCACACCTGATCACAAAGTGATATAAAAACCATTCCATCAATCAAATAACACAAACGCTAATGTTAGACAAAACAATGGATAAAACAATTACAGCTGAGATTTAAGGAAATAATTTTAGCAGACAGCATATTAGAAATTTTGAATTGTCTATGAGCTTTTAATGATTCTGTCCAAGTTGATGTGCATTCTTTTAAGTTTGAATGAAAGAAATTCAATAAAATCTACAAAAATGTCACCCTCACTAATGTTCTCACAATGCTACTACTGTGTATACTTGTTAGTCTGTAATATATTTATTAACTCTAATTCAGCAACTATTATCATCTTTCTGAGGCCACAAATGGCCTGAGAGCTTTATTGGCATATGTCAGCCAGAACAGACAGAATTACATAATGGATCATTTTAGTCCCATCTAATTTAAACAGCCTAACAGACATCATTCTAATACATGAATACTAAAATTGCTTTCATTTTACTATGGTAGAATAACAACATCTAAAATTATGTTAAATTGTTCATTACCTTATATGCCTAATAAAAAATTTTGGTTTGTCGTTCCTTCCAAAATTTGAGCATATAATGACAGAAACCAATCATGTTACTTCAAGCCTTTTGATATAGAATATAAATTAAAGCTCCATTTAAAACACACAAAAGGCAGTAAGGGGCATCTTACTCAGCAACAGTGAGAAAAGAGGGAAAAGAAGCCGATCACGGCATCAGGTCTACCGAGATGTGAAAGGGGCTGGAGCGCTGAAGTCTTCTGCTTTTTAGCAGATGCGGTTACTTACCTATAGACATATCTGAATTAGAAGAATTTCAAATGAATTATATATTTACTGTATGAAATTCAAAATGACAAACCTTTCATGCTGTATGCTGAGTATATTAATTGTTTTAACGTTTCTCAAACAAGAAAAAGAAACACCACAAACTGAATTACATTTACAAAAATGTCATCTACTCTTCTAATCAGAATAGCATTTCACTTTATTCCCAGCATTCCCATTTAATCTCTAGAACAATGTAAGATGTTTCTTAGTGTGCTACATTTATTCAAAAATTCTTCATTCAGGCTGAATTCTTATATCATAGACTTCCAACGGGAAAAACAAATCTAATATACACCATCATCACCACTGTTTGGCTCTGAACATTCTTTTGATTCTCTTTCACCCATTTAACTGTATTCCTGATTTTCACAATTCTAGTTGCAGAAACAGTGCTTAATACTACCCCAAGCCCTTTCATCCTCGCTGTACAAACATTAGGTTCAAACACAGGTGAACCAGTCAAAGGCAGAAGAGATAGGTCTTCACTGTAAATAAAGTTCTCATAGCCAAGGGACACCACTTCAGCATATTATGGCAGTAGAACAGCTGGGGAATACGGAGTCTGTAAAAAAATTAAAAGATTGCTTATAAGGCATCAAGCTTCACTGTGCTTTGCAAACTGCCTAGACTTCTCAGATCAGGGACAGGAGTTCACCTTTTGCAGGTACATTCTTCACTCTTACTGAGAACAAGACTTCTCTAACTCCACTGTAACAAGAGAGTGCTCCTCACATTTGTGTGCTAATCACTAATGAACTACAGACACCAAAGACTAAGCGCACCTAGATGCTTTCTGACACCTGGGAATTATACAGATGTCACATGAGCTTAACCCAAACTTAGGGAAAGGAGAAACATAAAAAGAATTACAATTCAAAACTACAGTAATATAATCATAAAATTATGAAAGAATAAGTCAGAACATTTTGTATCCAAGACATATCTTATTTGGAAACATGGACAACTCAAGTAGAAATTTATAAATGTAAATATCATAGAAACACATGCTGGTTTCTTTTTCATATGTGGTGGCTGAAAGGCTGCCAACATATCCAAAAATAATGCTTCATCAGCATAAGGAAGACAAAATCTGGACTGTGGCGTTGATCTCTTCATAGTGTTGACACAGCACCATATCCTGACAGCCTCATTCATCTCTTACATTACGATAATCTGGTCGGTAAAGCCATCCACAGGCCCAGCTTCAGGTTATGCATGTGTATTTGTAAAGTTAGCAATATGGCAAAAACACAAGAATTCAAATGGGCATGGCACACTCACTTCATTTAAGAAAGTGAAAAAAAAAAGTTTGACTCTGAAATCATCAATAGGAACTTATTTCCTTAGGAATACTTCAATTTCTAGGAAGTAGAAAACTGAACTGTGTGGATTCAGAAGTTTGAATACAGAAATGGGTAACTGCCGTGAGGTGCTGGGGACACAGTGGGCAGCCAAGAAGAGGAACAAATGTTGAGCAATGGAAAAGTTATCCACCAGGGCAATTAGACGTAGAATAAAGGGACTGCTGTTCCCAGAGAAAGTGATGATGCTGGAGAAACTGGGAGGAGCCAGGGATGTGCTGTGAAGGGACTAGCCTTGATGGGCCAGCAACACAGAAAGGACTGGCAGTAATAGGTCTTCATCACGAAGAACAGATTTTCCCTAAAAGGAACACAGAAAGTCTTCAATTTTTAATATCCTAATGGAGTATCACAATGTCAACGAAGGGCTTTCAAGTGTATTTTTTTTTAATGTGAAAGCACATCGATATTCTTATAATAGCAACTTTTAAGTTACTTTTTGCTATTGATGACTCTGGTATGAAAAGATCAAACATGACTAAAATCAAAAGAGCAACACTCCTTCTGAACACACGTGGACTGTATAGGAACACTGGATTTGTCAGAGAGGAGAGTAATTTACTTTCCAAAAGGATTCTGTAACATCCCTGGAAAGGGCCGACCATAAAGCTTAACGTGTCTTGTCACAGGTATTAAGAAAACAGCACCAGTGAAGCCGAAGGTCCTCCACGGTAAGGGTAAAAGTACAGTTCATAAAAGACAATTGAGCGTGAAGCCCAAAAGATAAATAAAAGTAAGATTATATTGTCACTTCTTTCCTTCAAATCTCAAAGCCAGTGGTGCTCACAGTAATCAATTCAGAGTGTTTCACACAAAACTCCAGTGAATGTGCTTTTTGAAGGGATCTGGGGCCACACTGGAACTTTTCTATGTTTAGAAACTGTTATTTTCCTTGAATACACACACTTAAAATGTAACTCTAGCTTTAAGCATTTCATCAAATAAATGCCAAACCAAATCGACAGCCTATGTGTTCCTTCATGTTAACCCCAGAGTGCTAGACATATTTCTTCCAGTCAACCATTCCCCTCAGCTGAACCTGACTATGGATGGCAATGAAGAAGCATTTAGAATACTCTTGTATTGTTTAATTACCTGGAGGTGTTAAACTAAAAAGAAAAATAGATCTGTTTACCACCCTATTCTGGAAAGTTCTCCAGGATTCTCACCTATAGTCAGCACAGAGGGAACACCACTGTTACCCACTATGTATAGGCTATCTCCTTCATGTCTCATGGCACCAGGGATGTTTAAATCTGTGGCTCACACACATGCCACACGTGTGCACGCACACATCCCCATTTCCATGTACCCCACAAGTCATCTATCCATACATTCTGAAAATAAACTATGGCACATTTTACTATGGCAATTTTGGGAACTAATTTTATGGCAAATTTTAGGAAAGATTGTTAAGTGACTGACCTAACATTACACAGCTTATGACTTATCTGTGAAATAAGTCTTCAGTCTGTAGTCTTTGTGCAACACAATAAAAAAAAAATCAGATTTGGACATAAAAGACTTGCATTCAGGACCTATCCTTCCCTGTCACTCCCTTACTGGCTGCTGAATGTCAGAATAAGAACAATTCTCTTGGTGGTAGCCATCTTTATGAGTAGTCCTCCCTCCAACTACTCAGGCTCTGCCTTAGTGAATCTGACCAAGACTAGCTAGAACATGCATTTTGTTTAAAAAAAACTTAGATTGCAGCTGTTGACTACTATTTGTTTAGACCTACAACGGTACTCTGTGCTGAAGGTGTGCCAATTATTTTGTATTTGTCATTGCAACTCA